TTCTTTCTTTCTTTCTTTCTTTCTTTCTTTCTTTCTTTCTTTCTTTCCTTCCTTCCTTCCTTCCTTCCTTCCTTCCTTTCTTCCTTCTTCCTTCCTTCCTTCCTTCCCTACCCACCTACCGACCTACCTACCTACACGGACTATAAACTGCTTAGAACCATTGTGAAGTGGTGTATAAGTCTTAAGTGCTATTGCTATTTTCCTTCCTTTCCTTCCTACCTACCTACACTGACTGTAAATTGCTTAGAACCATTGTGAAGTGGTATGTAAGTCTAAGTGCTATTGCTACTAACTTTAGAATTGCAGTGATTCACTGTACAACTGTGGCACAAAAGGCCATAAAACAAGGCAAAAGTCACTTAGCAACTGTCATGCTGAGCGATAGAAATTTTTTGTACAGCTGCAGTTTGTAAATCAAGAATTACCTGTTGCTATATAACTGAATGGAGCAAGCAGAGTGTTTTAATGGCCGGATGCCTTTCCTGTCGCCGATGCGGAGTTTTTGTTCATATTCTCAGTGTGCCCAGAGAGAGAAATATCTGTCTCTTACCTAGGATCAAACTCACAGCCTCCTGTTTTGGAGGGAAGAGCTCCACTTCTAAGCCACCGCACCAAGTTTATGCCAATTTAATGGCAATGAAATAAACAGGGAGAGCCGTGGCTGCTATGATGGGGGCCTGTCCCTAACTAGGATTCTCGTTTCTTAGTCATCATATTTATTTCAACCTAATTGGATTGCAGGCTGAGGTGTAGCACAGCAAAAGCAAAAAAAAAAAAAAGAGAGAAAGAAATGCTTGCAAAACAAAAACAGCAGCAGTGATAAATCAGCCAGCAATACAATTCACATGTCTCTTGGCTAAAATAAAATATTTATTTTCCGGTTAATGCTGTTCTAAACCTGCTCTGCAAACCAGATCCTAGTTTGATTTTAAAAATTTGGAAGTAGGTCAGAATTTTCTTTAAAAAAAAATAAATCCAGATCGACAACAACTTTAGCAAGCTCTGCCCCGGTCCAAATATAGCATTGATGCTAAGAACATCAACAGGATATGCATGAAAACACGAATGGTTTCAGTCTCAAATACAATTTTGTCACTCAGCGGTGAAATGAGTGGACTGGAATTGAGATTTTTTACAAAGAAAACCCAGCAAAGTCTGAATGTAAGGTAGCTCTAGAGTCTTAATATAAATGATGATAAGGATTTTTTTTTTATTTTTTTTATATTTTTCTTTTACAAAATGACCATCTTTCCATTCAATGGTGTTAACAGATATAGGTATCCAGTGTTAACCGGGTACGTATATCTTGTGCACATATTCATATTTAATATACATTTCATGTTATGTATCATTAAAATTACATTCATATTAAAAATTCCATCCTTTTTTTCTCTTATCATTGTATTCTTATTACCTCTTATCTTATATCCATTCCATTTCTAACCATTTATAAAATATATCCCATATCGTATAATATTCTGTATCTTCTTGATCTTTAATTTCCAATGTTAATCTATTCATTTCTGCACATTCAAATATTTTCATAATCACCCCTTCTGTAGGAATCTTCTTATTCTTCCAGTTTTGAGCAAATAAAATTCTAGCTGCTGTTAAAATATGAATAATCAAACACAATTTTTTCTTTACTATAGTTATCAGGTAAAATTCCCAAAACTATGAATAAAGATTAAGGAGTTAACAGAAGCATATGTTACTCCTCGCAGCAAAGAGAAGCAGAGACCGCTGAATTGATTCTTTTATCCAAAGAAGAGTAGATATCTAACCTTGTTTCTATTCTGAAATTGCTTCCGGATTTTTGGCTTGCAATGAAAAAAAAAAAAAAAAACAATCGAAACTTTGGTTTTGGTTTTGTTAATTTGACAGGCTTATTGGCATAGAAATGGCTGGTACAAGCTGTTGCGTAAAAGCACAACAGTTGTGGTTTGTGATGTTCTACTGTGCTAAAGAATCGGAAGTTGGTACCTTTTCCTTTCGTCCCTTTACACTATATTTCTTTTCCCCCTTCCCTCCCTCTCTTCTTAGTTTTCCACTACTTTTTATTTTATTTTATTTTTCTTTGTATTTTATATTTTGAAAAACCAATAAAATCAGAGAGATAGATGATAGAATAGAATAGAATACAATAGAATAACTGTTGGAAGGGACCTTGGAGGTCTTCTAGTCCAACCCCCTTGCTTAGATAGGAAAACCCTACACCAGACAAATCCGTTATCCAATTTCTTCTTTAAAACTTCTAGTGTTGGAGGATTTGCAACTTCTGGAGACAAGCTGTTCCACTGATAGAAAAATAGAATAGATGATAAATAGAATAATAGGTAGAAAGATAGAATGAGAGAGATCGATCGATCGATCTGGCTTGTGGGGGTGGGGGTTGGCTTCCCAGAAAGTGGGCTCCCTTGAGGTCGTAAGCGGGGGCCTCCCCTGCACAGGCGCGCGCTTCCTCCGCGGCGGAGCGCTCTGCACGCGCCTAGAGGGACTCTTGCCCGCCAGCTGCAGAGCCCGCCCTTCCCTCGCGCTGCCGGCCGTCCATTTCTGCGGCGGGAGGAGGAAGAGCCCGGGCGGGCGGGTTTGCAAGGCGGGGCTTGGGCGGCTCGGGCTCCTCCTGGCTTCCTTCCTGCTCGCTCTGCCGCCTCTGCGGCTCCTCTCCGCCCCGGAGGAGGCGCCTTTTTCCCCTGCCCGGCCGCTGCTGGTCCCCGGCTGCGCCGTCCGGCCCTGGCTCGGCGGCTGGGCGAGGGGAGGACCATGAGCGCCTTGCGGGACGTCTCGCTGCAGGACCCGCGGCTGCGCTACGAGCTCATCCAGCGCATCGGCTCCGGCACCTACGGCGACGTTTACAAGGTGCGCAACGGGGCGCACGGCCGGCTTTTTGGAGAGGGTCCCCGGGCGCGCTTGGGGTGGGAGGGAGGGAGGAGGGGGGGTCCCCAGAAGGGAGGGGGAGAGAGAGAGCAGGGGGGGGGGGGGCCTGGTTGGGGGGGGGCCCCCCACCTGGACCGCCCCCCCCTTTTCTTCCCCCCTCCCCCCTCCCCGTTGGGCAACTTCTCCAAAGCGCGCTTTTGGAGACGCGCAACGGGGAGCAAGGAGCCGTGGACTGCATCGCTGCGCGGTGGCGGTGGGGATCATTCTGCAACCCCCGCCACCACCACCCTCTCCCGGGTGGGGTGTGGATCGGACTGGGGAAGGGGTGCAGAGGGTGGGTGGGAGAAGCAGGAAATTGTGGCCGGGGGTTCCAGGGCTTCTCCCCCGCCTCCCGCCGGGGCGTGTCCGGGTCTCTTGCGCCCAAGTTTTCCCTTTTTTTTGTTGCACGGGAACCAAAGGGTTGCCCCAAGCGGAGGGCGCCTTTTGGAGAAGGCGAGGCGACTGTTGGCTGGGCTGGGCTGTGGGGTGGGCAGGCTTGGCTGGCTGGCTGGCTGGTTCTCCGGCCAAGGTCGGCTCTGGGGGGCAGGCTGGCTTTGCTACAAGTTGTAGGCAGGGCGGGCGGGATCCTCTCCCTGCTCGCTCCGCTTTCCTGGAGGGAGCGAAGTGACCACAATGCGCTTATTTGTCCGGGTTGCCAGGGAGTTTGGCACGCGCGGATCTTGCGGTGCTGAGGGCTAGGAAAGAGGGAAGAAGAGAGGAAGGAAGGAAGGAAGAAGAGAAGAGGAAAGGAAGGAAAGAAAGAAAGAAAGAAAGAAAGAAAGAAAGAAAGAAAGAAAGAA